AAAAAGGAATAGAGAGGTACTCCAAAGAAAATACTCGCATTCCCTAACCAGTGAAATCAAAGAGAAGGAGGCCATAGGTAAAGAAATCAGCCTTTTCACCCACCCCCAAGTGCCTAACCAGCTCGAGCCAGTTTTAATTTCCTGAGAGAACTTTATTTTTCTGACGGGAAATAATGAAAGTGCCAGTCAAAGTGTATGGGGGCTACAGGCCTAGAAGTACTAGCTGTGGCCAGTCAAAGTCAGTGATTTGGCCTCCCAGACTCGAGCGTTATGAATCAAGCGACCCGAAGGAATAGAAGGCTTGGCCGGTCTAGTCGAGCATCGATAGGGAGTCGAAGGTAGGACCATAGAGAAGCAGCAGCAGTAGTCAAGTGGAATTACTTCTAATCTGACTGAGAAAGGACTGAGAAACATCCCAAGGGAGTGGTTATGAGAAATGAAGAAAGGTGATAGGTGAACATCTAACTGAACTGACCTGCAGTTGAAAAGCGATAGTAATTAGCTGCACATAGATTCTTTCCGAACACATTCTTCGAGGTATAAGAACTAAATCAAATAAAAAGTTAGCTTCACATTTATCCTTCACTTTGATAGTTTAACTTATGTTCAAAGTAGGATAAAATAAGGATAGAGGTGGGACCAGCCACAAAAATTGTAACGCTACAACGACTTTATTAAACGAGCCTTCCGTTTCTCTCACGCTTTTGGTAACTCGAAGGCTAAACTGTGAAGAGGTAAAGCATGAATAAGAGCATTATCAGTCGGAATGCCTCAAAGTCTTCCTCCCTCCCATTGTTTTCTTGGGACTTCTTTCTGATAGTTGGGAAAAAAACCTTCGAGTTGTTCCTCTCTGAGAATTTGGATTCTGTTGATACCACATAGTATGAAGGCAACACCGAATATCGCATCCGCCACACATATTCCAACCATAACTGAAATATTATCTATTCGTGAAAAAAGCCAACATGAATAAGAAAATTCTTCAAAAAAAGACGCGGTATTCAGCAAATGGGACGTTGGGGACATGGGCCAAAAGGAGATGGGTACGTCAAACGGCGCATTAACCCCTTCACGGTACGAAGATCGAATTCCTTACAGATAGCTGTCCATGCCAACTGCCTAGCCTTCCGTTCCCGTAGTTCCTGCTGATCAATATGGCTATCTACTCATTCGAAGACCTCGATAATCCAGGAAGAAGCTCCATGGACACACCTCAAGGGAATTATGGAGAGGGAAGATCCACCTATGAGTTAAAGTTCATAGCAGAGTTGCAGCTACTACAGAAAGCTTTCGGTAGGTGACAAAGTGAACGATTCGGAAGAAATCAATTTGAGTCTTCCTTTCCGGGTTCCTGAGCTCCATCTCTTTGAAAATTTCTGGTTAAGCTCATTTGATAGCACCATGTGTACCAAGAATAGAAATAATAAAGTCTAGGTGGTTCCGTGTGTATATGAAAACACCTGCAGTACAAGTGTAAGCCGAGTTCCTGCTCGAAAATTGGCTCTGCAAAGTTTGTAATGATGTGATTGAGAAACACCATTGTTTTCAAATCCTTCGAGAGTGATCAGTGAAACTTAATCCCACGGGAACAAAACCCAATAATTTCTTGCAATGAAATTGCAGGGAAAGCAATAATTCATGGTTAGTCAGTGTAACGTCATCTTTAAAGATCACATAGATTAAAAATACCGATACGGTAGTGCTACTACATGGCCAATTACGTAATTCCGGGTAAAATACCCACCAGGAAGTTCCTCCCACGGACTCTGAATTGTCTACTTTATCATCAGCTGAGTTCCCCATTCGGTAGTTACATGGAGACAATATATGTAGTTAGGGGAAGGGGGGGGGGGGGGGGNAAAACCTCATTAGGTGCCACGGTGTTACAGGTTATTCCGTTACACTAGAGGCGCCCAATTTTACAACTGCACCTGAGCAGAGAGGGAGCACTTGGGTAGGTGAGTCCTTGGCTTTTCGCACGAGGTAATTATCTCACTTACTCTGGTGCATCCAAAGTCTTAGTGGAAAAACTACATTCCCATGGCTGAAACAGCATAAAAGTTCAAAGAAGGCGTTGGTGCCCAACAGATCGTCGGTGTCTATCCTACTTTTTCTTCCTAATACAGTCCGATATAGTTCCAGTATAACACGGATTAACCCATCCCCCCTCCCCCGTTGCAACTATGGAACAAAACTGAAAGGTTAGCTAAATATGAGCATAAAGCATAACAAGTAAAAGTGTATGACATTGATAAGTTCTGCCTTTGAATGCGCCCCGCACCCGATCCCATCTAGAATCACGGCGGCTATTTGAATGCGTATGTGTCTATAGAGTGACTCGTGATGATCATCAGATGTGTAGGCCGATGCCTCTATCCTCCTAGATGAGTCTGGTACCAATTAATCGGCCCCGAAGGGAAGGAACTACAACTGGGTGGCCTACATGGATCTCGATCCGAACCTGTGTCTATGCTTATTTATTACTACAACACCTCCGCCCTGAGTACGCACATAATTTGAAAGAAATATCAGAAAGTTGAAAGAGAGCAATCAACAGAATCGTGTAAATAATAGATAAAACACTAGTTGGTGCCTAATAACGAACAAACCTCTATATTCTCGTTTTATCCTCATTTTACGCGTTGCAATCAAAGCAATAATCAGAGGAATATTTACGATAATCGCAATGGACCCTATAAAGAAGTTTCAGTTTTATAAGTACTTGTATTACTTTATATTGACTGATAATTTGTTGTAGCTCATGAAAGAGTGATCCTGCACTTTGTGGCTGTGACCGTTGGTTCCCCTCCGATCACACTTCCAATAACGAATAGCTGGGTGAAAGTGCAAAAACAGCTGATTCAATCTACGGCCATGGAAACTTATTAGGGTATTTTTGTAGTTATGGCAGAACCTTCCGAGGAAAGACCGAGAGAGAACGTGATTTCAAAAGTCCTTGTGGTAATGATGAGAAAAAACCAGTTACTACTTTACTTACCTTCCAAAAGGTATAGATAGAGCGACTGTAGCATCGATTGCTCTTTGTCAGACATCTTCAAATACACAGCTATTCGAAATACTCGAAATTCAATGGCTTGTCTGAAATAATACTTTTAATGGAAGTTATGCTCTGAAATGTTTTTTTAGTTTATTTTTATTTTTATTTTTTAGATTCTTCAGATATTTTTTAGATATTTTCCTTGACTTATTCATAGCTTTCATCTCGGCGCATTATCTTCTTATGTCAACCCTGCTTGATCTTCCATTTTTCGATATAAAATTCAGAGGCCTAAGGCTACATGGATCAAGGAGTTCAGAACTTAAACATAAAAAAGAGCATGAGTCAGCTGGCGCTTTCTTTTGAGAAACAAATTAATGCAAAATTCAATTTATTAGGACCTGGCCTGGACACATACAACGTGACCATCTCATCAGAGTCAATCCATCATCAGAAAAAAACATATAAGGGTTTTGCCGACGAATACGTTACTGTAGGATGTGTGGAATACTGTATTCGGGTCAACAAGTGGTAAACAGGAACTGTATGTACCGTAATCGTCAGTGCATTGAAGAACAACTAGGCTAGACCCATGATGGCCATTCTAACTAAGCCACGACCTTCCGAAATTCTTAGAGCATTAATTAACAAGAGCGGACACCCGTTTATGAATGCCTGGTGATAACATTTCTCATTAAAACGAACGACCTCAAACACTTTGTATCTGTCAAACGGAAACAACAGACGAAGCAGGTGATTCTTTCTACCTCTAAGAGTTTCTAAATTGGCTTTTCCAAGAAACCAAAAAGGTTTTTAATCAGGCGGGAAGAGGTCCTTGAACGGGATCTTTTGTACAACACCAACATGTTATTCCGCTAAACAATTTAATTAACTTGGATTGGAGCTCTTTCTACCTTTACCTTTCACTCAGTCAGTCGTAGTTGTTCAGTGACCAAATAGTGGCCTTGGTGAGTAGAAATGTTCTTCTCGCTCCAGTAAATGTTATATGAACGTCAGAGGAATTATCTGAAAGTATCTGAGATAGAGATGCCCATGGGGAGAGCGAACGAGGTTCCATAGGTTCTGCGAAATTTTTCGGAGCGTCTTCTAGGAGAATTTGCAGCAAAAGACAAAGATGAGAGTATTCTCAAAAGAAGCGTAGCAGTCGGGAATGTGTGAATCATGATGGAGAAGAAGATAATCGTGAATAATGGAATGAGCTGAAGCGAACACTCGTCTCTGTAGAAACATACGGATTCAATGAATACAGAAGATCCCAGGCCATATGATGATTAGTCTGGCTAATATAAGCTAAGCAACACTCGCTTGCTCTAGGAACTCAAATTGCCATGTCGAGAGGCTAGTCATACTTCTTCCATATCCCTCAATTACCTGCCATAATCAATGCCTCGAATCAAAAAGGGGCCAGAAATCAACACTGTCACGTATAGCCAGAATTATGGAAAGGTAGGTAAAAAAGAAGTTGAGTAGGTTTAGTGGGAATTCATGCTTTTTACTTCTAAAATTTTTCACATCACGAACGTGGGCCCGTAGCCACCGAAAGATTTTCTCTGCTCACTTTCAAACGATTCCGTGAGAAATTCAATNGTGTTCCTTCGAATTTCAGGGCTCAGGTAGTGCACAGATGCGGTGGCTCGAACTTCTGCAGTTGCAGCAGTTTTACCTAGAAGACAGCTGACGAGGAAGGCAGGTGAAGTTATAACTAGCGAGTCAATTACGATCAGAACAAATCAGTTAGAGTTCCTCTGTTTCCTTTTCCAAAGTTCAAAGTTTTTTGAGGCTACTTGAATGAAGAGAGCTGTTTACTGAGCATTGCAGGGGAGGGACAGTGCCAAGTTGCAAGCTATCCACGTACAATCCGGGATCAAGTCTGGAAAGCATCAAAAGCTTGGTCTGAACGATCGTCTCTTCACTGCTAGATCAGGTACGTGGAATCAGATACCCGTGTGAAGATAAATTACTAGTACGACGTCGAGGGCCAGTTCAACTCCACTTTCGAAGGAAACTGCTTCCCTTGACTAATTGTTCAGCCCCAAAAACCATTGCAATCATCACAATGACTTCGAAAGAAGCTTAAGACCTGAGCGACCTTTAGAACGGGAGAATCAACAACGAGATATTTGTCTTATATTTGATATTTTTTGATATTTATGGCATTTCAGGGTTGCTTTACACAATGTCGAAGCTCACCTCAACCCCGGTTCTAGGCAGGATGTTTTTGCTTCGTTATCTCTCTCCTGGTAAGAACGAGAAAGAGCACTAGGAAGAGCAAAGATTGAAGTATCATATGAATAGCTCAGTTGGAAAAACAAGTTCGCAGAAAACTGTGAAATTGAACGAAAAAGATTATTTGCTATAGCAAAGCACTGGTGCTGCAGCAAGATGCAGTCCGTGGGTCGGAGGCAGATCCAAAATGCCATCCGGAGAAAGTGTCACCTAAACATTCTAGGTATTCTCGATTATTTTTTGTTACCAGGGGCACTACGTGATATGCAATGTGATTATTTAACAAAATCAGGTGGTTTTTATGTAGCAACTGGTTGACAATGTAATTAAGCGACTGAAAGCTGATATTCACCTCTATGGCATCATAATTTTGTTTAAAGATTTAGACAGATTCCCAAGAATCGTAAAATTTTCATTAACTGAGCAATAACTTTTTTCTACAACAATTCATTATTAATCTTACCCAGTCCTCCTTTCTTTGTTCGCACTCACACCCCTACGCTTTCATACACGGTTCTACTTTTAACCAATACCGGGAACCTTCGTGGAATGATGTTATGGGAACTTAGGAGGAACACAGTTGCCCAAGAATAAGCGTCAGAGCCGAAACTGAGCTCTCTGAGCATTACTGTGGGCATGGGTAGGTGATCGACTCCCTATTCTCTCATGGTGATAGTTTTGCCCATTGTCTTCCTGAATAGGAATAGTGATACGATATTTCGACCATTTACAAAAAATGTGCCTCAAATACATATAATCATATCAGCAGTGCACCGTGGAGCCTAGTTTTCTTCTTTCCAATTCGGGAAAAGCTCCCCTAAAAAGTAGAAGACGTAGGAAAAGGAGACAAAGACATAAATACCAGTGAACAAAGCTGCCAGCTGCTTACATTGACCGATTTTGATTTTACATCTTAATTCAGAAGTCATATGTTTTGAGTTGGAAAACTTCCCCAGTCTAGTGCGGAAGCACCCAGTAATTGCTTATTAAAAACGACAGAGCTACTTTCAGTATATTAGGGTGATGAGTTTTCCTTGATGTAAACGATCTTCTTGAACTTCATGCCCACGCAGTGCAGTAGTTAATTACGTTCATTTTTGAAAAATACACGCACGCATCTTGTTTGCAGTGCCGGTAAATTTCAATTAATTACTTACTCAATTACTTCAATAAACTACAGGGAAGTATAATAATAAGGAAATACGTCATACGAAGAGAGAAGGAGAGATATTATGTAAGTAGGAGTGTAAGTAAAGTAGGAAAAAAATGCGGAAAAGATGAGGGAAGAGTAAAGTTTAATCGACTAAAACGATCAGTTTTTACGAGTGAGTTCCATGGGAGAAACTCTGCGCTCTGGAATGAAACCGCTCTCTCCTTATTAAACCTTATGGCATAACGAAATGGGATAAAGACGCCCTTCCTCGAACTCCTTTTGTTACCTTTCAGAAATTTTGCTCATTAAACTTCGCTATGACACATACTATTTCATGTTATTGTGCTCTATTTGTAACAATGCACGTTTCTCGGGATTCCTTCTTTTATTATGCCTGTTTGCACCCCATAGTAGTCATTGAAGACCATTGAAATCACTGGAATGAAAGGTGTGGAATTCAGAGCTCACAGATCACATCCGTCATGAAAATTTCGTGAGTTTTCTGTCAATAATAAGAGCAGAGGTGGTGTAGTGGCAAGTGGCGCACTATCCCAAACGCACGGACACGGGTTCGATTTTCGGATCCAGCTTCCGAGCCAAGCCTCTCATCCTCTCAGCTGGGTTGATTTTTATCACACCTGTCTTGGAGGATTGAAGATTTGGCGTGTACGTCGGCCGGCCACCGCGAGTCATTGTATGGGTCACGTACGCATCAAGTGCGCCTCTACGATTGCGAATTGAGGTCGAATGCAGGGCGCGTCCTCAGACAGAACAGATGGCAGAGTTGTTTCAAATTTTGGAAAAAATGGTGAAACTCAGGGTAGTAAGACAATATGAGTACTCACGTTGGTATCAAAAGTTTGAAATGGAGAAGAGAGGGATGAGCCAGCCGCTTTCACCTCGATGAAATCCCCATCTTCTCGCAGTTCTCATTAGTGCAGGGAGCTCTACGAAAACAATAATCACTGGTTACTGTGATGTAGAGAAAGTAAGCGAAGCGTTACAATATCATGCATGAAAATGAAAATAACAATGCGCCTGAATAGAAAGTATCAAGAAAGAAGACGTATTTTCGAAAGTTCGCAACGAGATCGTAAGAAACTTACCTGATTACTCAGCGCTCTGAAAGTTGCGGTATGTCATGAGAGGGCATATTGTAGCCGCACAGAAACAGCGTACTCCTCCACTCAAGCGACTAAAATAATACTACAATTAAATCGTAAGTGATTGAAAACCAACTACATCTCAAGAAAATGTGTAATTATGAAGTACATGAGTATTTGGGGGAAAGAGGAAGGGATGTATTACGGAATACGGCTGGTTAGGAAGCTAGCTTAAGAGTCAGTTGGGTGTAATTACATCACCATTTTCCTTCTTCCTCTTCCACGGTCCAGTGTCCGTAGTTAAAATAGCTACTGCGGAGGGAAATAGGAGGAAGTTAAAGTGCATAAAAGCTAACTCACCCTACTCTGTACTTACGGAACACACCCAAATACTCAGGAAAAATCCTCGACGAGCAACTCGACAGTCCCCGCCGTTCCCAGTCGCCTGACGCCTCTGGGCCTGCACCACCGTCACTGCGGACCATAAACCATGCGACGGGAATGGTAGTCTTACAGTACTCACGTCTAGAAATAGTTTTTCCGCAAACACAATGCAGACAAACACTTTGAATGGACAAAAGAAATTTCTACTAGAGAGAATGATAGGTTTGTATAGACTGTAATAAAACATAGTGGCTACCGTACCAAATGCCCACAACTCAGCATGATTACTGTTTTGTTTTTATGAAGAATGCCAGTTTCCGATTACACACTTTTTCGAGAATTATCTAGTTATGGCTTTCTTCACCAATCCCACTACTGTTGTCCTATCGGAACCATCTTCTTCATCTGTTCCTCCCATGGACTGAGTCTTTGGGCGTTGACCATTCCCATCTGAGAGATGCACTCTGCTTGGATTTCCACTCACAAACGTAGTGGCGTAATGAATGCGTGTGTGGCCCATACAATTACTTGGGCTGGTCAGCTGATGAATAAGCCAGTGCTTTTATCCTCCCAAACGAGTCTGGTACCAACTGATCGATCCCTTAGGGAGGGAAGGCTTAGATTGCCCAGTCGGATATCGATCCGAGATTTGAACCGTGATAACGTGTGTGATAGCGCGCCACCTGCTACTACACCACCTGCACAATCAGGGAGTTTTTTTTTGAACTTAGTTTCTTGCTATATCTTGTACTGCCATGCTAAATAAGTCTGCCATGGTGGAACTTCTTTATTCAGCCCACGTTTCCAGCAGCCTTCATCGTCAGGAACTGAATGCAGCTCGATGCTCCAGATCTGTGGCTTACTTTGTCAAGGGCCAAAATGAACCTAGGCACTCGCAATGTCTCCAGGAAGACTAATCGTGGGAAACAGTTTTTGCCTTTTTTCTGCGGAGAAAACCGTTTGTTGTGATGAGTAAACAGCATGCTTTCCAAGAAATTGCGTTCACAACGTAAATGGATGTTTTGATGAAAAAATAAGAGGTGTTTACGGTGAACGTTGATAATATCTTTCCGACACTTTACCACGAAAACCACAACGTTTAATTCTATTGGGTTGTAACATAAGTTCGTAGAGTTTTGCGTTAGAGCTATTTTACAAAGAAAATTTTCGTTTTTCAGCAAAGTGCATACATTCATTCGAAAGAGCTCTTTCTCCTCTACAAAACTGTTATATTAACTTTTTTGGGCAATCCAACTGCTCGTCTTTTTTCTGGCTCAGAAATGGAATATCCAGGAGGAAAAATCAGCATTTTCGACATCTGCTTTTTTTTTGCTTTTCATTGAGGTCAAAAAGCAGCCGAAGCCGCTCCGGGCAATGCGGTGTGTACGGGGAAGGTGTCTTCTGCATAAAAATGGTTTGCAAAGTTTAAAAATGGCGACTTCGACCTTGAAGGAACGCCTCGAAGCGGACGAGCTGCAGTATTCGACGAAGAGCATCTGAGACACTATTGAAGGAAGATGGTAGCCAAACAACTCGTGAATTGACTGATTATCATAATAATTTATTTAATCATTCTTTATTAAAATTATTATTATTTTTCAAATAAATTTTTGTGAAAAAACTCTACGAACTTATGTTACAACCTAATATTTTTACATATGGTGGAACACCAGTGTAGGATCATCTAACTATCCCAGTGCTGCTTGTGACACCCGTGTGTGTCTGGGCGATCCACCCTCAAGTAAATTCAAGTCTAAATCCCTAGGAATATTCATTTGGTTATCATCTATCAAAAAAGCTTCTTACTCTATGATCATATGCCAGTAACACCTCAATGATGATGACATTAATGCCTAAATGGAATCGAAAATCATTGAAATTTTTCGTGACAAAGTAGAACTTTGACAAAGTAAAACCAAATCAAGAAAGTGCTTTGAAATTGCACCTGCCAGAACTTTGATTACGTGTGTTGTTATGGAATTACCAAGAGTTAGCTTTATAGGTTCAAAACATTTCGCCAAGTTCCGCCAGTGTGTTTTACTTTGTCCATGGTTTCATTCTCTTGGTAATGACGATTGACCAACTTCGACGATGAAGTGTGAAGTTCCCAGCAGTCATAACCTTTGTAAATTTCGGAAATCCGCTTGAGGATGGGCTAATAGTACCGTGGAAGCAGTGTCTAAGGTCTGACAGGGAAACTCATAGAAGAGCAAACCCTGCTATTTGAATAGCATTTTTTTCTATTCAGTAAAGATCAGGGAAAGAGTAAAATCTCGCGCGGAAAAACCCGACCTGAAAATCGGCCGTGGCTTCGGCTTCAGCGCTCTACTACCCAAAACAACACCGAATCGTTTATCTCGATGTTTTGTTAATTGGTGTTATATCGCCGCAGTACGCGTTCCGAAAGTCTCACAAGGTTGGCCATCAATGGACAAAACTTCAGTCTCAGACAGGACTCGAACCCGTACTTGTCTCTTCCGGGGACTGTGCTCTTATCCCTTACTCTGTTATCGCTAGTTTGCTTGTCGCGAAGGGTTGGACCTTCCAGGCATACTCACCTCTTCATCAGTAACTCCTACTCGATAGATCAAGAGTGGCAATTTGGATTGCTAGTTGGACAATCTGCAATAGCGCCATTTGACACTATAATTTGTACTTCTCCGATAAACCCACTGAGCTTGATTTTTTGCTCCCGTATAACTGATTTCTACAGATTTTTAGACCACGTCCCTTCGAATTACTGTACTACATTCTTTCGGAGATCTTTCGACTCCTGGAATTTCAGAGCGTGATTTACTCTGCTAAATCAACTCTCCTAGTTTTTCAGAGCGTGATTTACTCTGCTAAATCAACTCTCCTAGTTTGCACTGGGAACGTGATTTATCTGGGAGAGTAGAAGTACCGCCTAGCACGGGGCTTGAATCATGAAACACAAAAAGCACCTATTATCTGGATTTCTCGTCTGCATGAATGCTAATTTCTCAGAGACTTTTCTTTGTTCGCTTCAAACATACAGGAAAGCTCGGAGATTTATGAGAAATGTGCACTTTTTCGTATTTTTTGTGTCATTAAAGGTTCCCAACGACGACATTGCTACATGCAATCCTGCAAAGGCACGAACACAATGCTACCGTAGTTCAGAAATAAGCCTCATAGTTATTAGGGACGGTGAAGAATAGAAGGCCTAAGAGTTCCATTTTTACCAGCCATTGCACAATGCGCTTTTCTA